AAGAGTGAGGAATACTCGACTCAGGTAAGAATGAGCGGTAGATCCGGAAATTAATTAGCCGAAAGGCTCTCTATTCTCCACAATAATACCCGGTGATTCAGGCATCACCAAGGATTGAGCAGAGAACTTCGAAGTCGTATCATACAATTCGGTGGCTAACCCTTAATAGGATGAGCAGCTCGCAAATCATACTATATTAATGAACGAATTTCTTTCTTAGCACTACCATACCCGGATGAAAGTGCCACCTACTTTGATCTTATTATTCAGAGAACGATGGGACCGATAACGTCCAGAAGGATCAGCTTCTGAATGCAAATATCCTAGCATACCGACTGACCCTATTAGACTTCAACATACCAGTGCCGATGTTCACCGAGCTTTTACAGGATCCTGCCCCCGGTGCCCCATCTCGATAGAACATATCCAAAGCACACTCCAGAGACCAATGGGAACGCTGTAAATATGATGCTGCGACCTGAGACCAGCCCTCTGCGAAACGGACAGGAAATATCACCCGATTCTTACTACCTCCTCGTTAGTGCCACTAATTTCGGCGAACTCATCAATCAACGCACTCTGCCGCGCTGTCGTGCCACGATGGGAAGAAGACATCACTGGAAGGAGAAACAGAACTTTCAAGCTACCGAGATGAATTAGCTGACGTCATCACCCTTCCCTCTCAGCTACATGAGGGTCACCATGGCAGACTACGGCGTCCCAAGGACCATTAGCGAATATTTATTACGACTCAACTCAAAATGTAATGAGCCAATGCGGCCTGTATAGGTCTTATGCTAACATCAAAAAGAATGACATAGTTACGACTCCAGACGACTAAGTTCCTTTGGGAAAGGCATGTGCGCCCAGATATAATATAAAATGAGTTTCCGACGGTCTAATGTAATGGTTCATGGAGTCGCACCAGTCTTATAAGAAACCATTCACGGGGCTTAAATCCGCTGAATCTGCTGAGTCAATCACGCCCTCTTCAACGCGTAAAGTGATAACTTCGGGTTCAATAACCTGACAATACGAACGATCCATGTACATATATATGCTCTCCTAATTTCAGTAAAACCACCTCTTCTTCCACCGTGTCAGCGACTTTGGAACGAACGTTCTCAGGGATCAGGGAATCCAATGAGGAACGACACAACGGACAACACAACCTGTCAAAAGGGAAAACTCTCAGTAGCTCGCCATAAATAAGACTCACTTCCGAGATTTGCAGAACCATTTCGTCAAGCATTCATGGTGGAATCCATGATGACATGCTCGTAGATGACAATCACTGCCCGAATCGAGGCATATGGCACATTCTGAGTCTGGAGCGCGTGAGGACGGCGTCGACCAGACATCATCAGATTCATCACTCTCGCCACCCTCATTAAAATACACCACCAACGGCAGCAAATCTCGCTTCACTACATCTGAATCAGCGGGTACCTGGAAATCAATCGAGGCTGACACTCGAGGCAATGACGGTCGAGCAGCGTGCTCACATACCCTGAAATAAGAAGTATCCTGCAGGTTCAATCCCTGGCCAGCAAATTCACGATTATTCTCTCTCCACCACTGTCTCGCAGAGGCATGTGCTTGGTTCAGCCCGTGCTCTCGTACTTCTTCGATTGAAAGATCGTTCGGCCACCAAGATCGAACTGAACGAGATTCATGCTGCTCTTCAGTTTCAGCTAAAACATTCTCCCGAAAAGTTAGGAATAATCAGCCGAGAAACCCTCAGTGGAGCGACGCGGACCATCTAATCCGGTACTACCAGTTAAGATAACATCAACATCCATTGCGACTTCAACAACGCATACATGCGCTGGCCGGCCGCCAGCTGAAGCTCTTGTAAGCTCTATCCCACCGCCCGGGCGACAAGACAGCGGACAAGCCGCTGAAATAACCCTTCGTACGTAAGAGGAGAAGAGCGACTGAACCATATGAAAATAGTACAACTCGACGCAACACGAGATCATCCAAGACCTCTCCAGCACTAAATATCGTCAGACTTACCCAGTAAGACGCGATACTCGACGACCGTTTCGGTATTATGGGGTCCGCAACCTGACGATACAACGCAAAAGGTCAATGAAGGTCGTCCATCATGACGATACTTGGCCGGATGGAAGCAATTCTTCCGCTCCTCCATGAGTCGGCGATACAGGCGGTGCTCTCGTGCCAGGTCCTGGGAACTCGATCTCATTCGAGTCTGATACATCCCAATCTTGTGACTGCAGTCCTAATCACGGTATAAGCGGATGCCACGGCCTTCGACGACATTCGGCACCAACCTTGATTATAGTCCTCGGAGTCGCGCGCTCGTGGTAGATGCGAAGGGATAATTAATCGAGTGGGCATACAAAAGAGAAAAAAAACTAATTGAGGTAATGACATCTACAACAGGGGATGTTAAAAGCGTCCGAACACAACATAATCACCAAAACCGCGGACACCCGAAATCTGAAACCTCCAAGATGGAGGCCTAGGGAAACTTACTGAGCGGCAGCGGTTATCACTATGCCACTGCCGAGACGCAATGCTTGATGAGAGTCTACCTCTGAAGCGAGTATTGCAATGGCAAACGCATACCAACATCTATAATGATCAGAGCACCCCGATGGGCGGCGCGCCAAGAACAGTTTATCCTACATTACTCGGCCGACCGTGATCAACGACGCTAAAATTAGGCAACTCGGCAAGCATAAAAAGGCTTTATTCAGCATACACGATGACACACAGCAAATGATGCCGTCAATGCCAACGAGGGGCCGACCAATTATTTTTACGGGGGCTTTCACTAACAACATTCGTGCCTGTACGGCTTCTAGGGTTGAGTCAATGGGAAAATCATGAAATACCAAAAAATATTTAATATTACATCGAGATAGATGCGAGTAGAGCAGCAATGGAAGTACAGTAAAATGATGAGGGGCAATAGCGACTTCAGTACTGAGGACAGTACTTCCACGGAGACTCAATCCAATACGCAACTTAGAGAAGATCAGCAACAGACGCGGTTCGAATTGTGATGTGGATGTGATAGTAGTAGTACCATATGAAAATGAAGCAACGAACAGTGAGAAGATTTCAGGCAGTACAGCCTAAGACAACTACAAACCCTAGATTCAAAAGTGTTGACCATCAATTATACGTAGACCATTACACATGGGAGCGACCAGATACGGCACTAGGAGGCTGGTCAACTTGATGGACCATACCCCCTTGACCAGTGCCCGCTGGCATACGTGTATGATAATACTGCATCATATGACCATTGCTCTGGTGATAGTAACCTTCATAGTAGGGCGCAGCACTGCTAGTGGGGTAACCATAAGGTTGACATAGTGATGGCTCCACCTCCCAGCGGCCTTGATAGACCCCACGATGAGGATGAGGCGGGAAGGACTGCTCTTTCGAGCAGTGAGGGACCCACGATGACAGAGCCACGTGTGCCGCAGAGTAGTCCTCCTGGTGCGTTCGGGTGGGCATAGTATATACGCCATTACATTGAGAAGAATGGCAGTTAACACTGCCCGCAAGAGCAGAAGTATTAAACTGTTGGGGTGGTTGTTGATATTGGGTGGCCGGGTAGATATGCTGACCAACGGGCATACCTTGCCAAGACTGTACCATCCCATGAGCATTTTGCCCTGCATAGACTTCTGGATAGTAGCAGTACTGAGGTGGATACGTGACCGGAGAGTTCAGCGGAACGTCCGAGTTTGGTGAGCAATCACCATGAGAAGAACTCCCTTCCACAAGTGTACCAAAGGATGGAGCCGGCGCACTGTAGTAAACACC